TTCACCAGAGACAGAGTGGGGTGCAGAACAGGCAGATCTACGAAGTACACTGCTGAGGGGAGCAGCAGGCAGGTCAGGAGAGGTCTGTCACGCCATGTGTCACCTCCTGGGCAGGCGGGAATCGAACTCATGCGGAAGTGGCTTTAGCTTCTAAGTGCTGTGCTTTAACCTGCTGCCCCACCAGGGAGGGCCCAAAACTGAAACAGTCTTAATGGGATGATAATATAGGGCCAGAATTTGAGGGTGCCAGAGTTATAGGTAAGAATCCTAGAAAAGAAGGTAGACACAGAATAAGCAGCTCTGAAATCTGCATACAAATTCTCTCATATATCCTTGGCTTTCTTGGTATATAGACATACACATGGTATGACTTCAAAAATCTCCCCCTACCAAAAAAAAGCAAAAGGCGGTAAGGTAAATTGCTAAGAAGATAACTCATCAGCTGCCTAATGTTGGAGATGGAGTTTGATATCCAAATCCAAATCATAGAGAGTTGTTAAATGTCACAGATTTTCCACTAAGACCCAGAAAGGGTCAAAAGGACCATATCATAATGACCCCATTTCATGATCACAGATTATATCATAAGAAAAAGAGAAAAACCAGTGTAGGTTAACCCTGACAAAACCTTCAGAGGACCTACCAGAATAAAACTTAACATGGTTTGGTATAAGTTGACAAAATCTAGTCTCTATAAGGTGTCATTTTTAACATATAGTATAAGGCCTCCCTGGTGGTGCACAGGGTTAAGTCTCAGCACTGTGAAGCTATCAGTAGCCACTGCAGCATGAGTTCAATCCCTGTCCAGGGAGTTAACCCACATGGTACAGTGACACTAAGCCTGTTCTGTTGTTCTGTTACCCACTCTGTCTCTGGTGAATCCTCTCACCCCCCCACCTCCACACACACACACACACATACACACACACACTCTGACCTTTACCCCAGTTCTTGTATGCATAAATAAAAATAAATCTTAAAGAAACATATATACATATGTATATATATATGCACATATACACATATAGAATTAAATTTTAATATATGAGGAAAAGGAAAATATAATCGATGGAAAAAGATAGTCTATAGATACTGATCTACAGATGACCCAAATACTATTATCAGCAGATGAGGACTTTGAAACTGCTATTATGAGGCCCTCCCTGGTGGTGTGACAGGTTAAAGCACAGCACTTTGAAGCTATCTGCAGCCACCACAACACAAGTTCAATGTTGGATCCCTGGCCAGGGAGGTGATCCACATGGTGCAGCAGACCTCTCCTGTCCCACCCACTACTACCCTCAGCAGCTTGTTGCATAAGTAAGAAAATATATCTTCTAAAAAATAAAATTAAAATGTTATTATGAAATTAGTGAGTGATTTACCATAACAGAAGAATGGAATGAATGAACAAGTGAGGAATTTCAGCAAATAGACAAGAGACTATAAAAAATGAAAAGAAAAAATCTAGAATTATACAATGCAGTTGTGTACAATGAAAAGATCATTGGATGAGCTTAAGAACAGAATAGACAAAACAGAAAAAAGGTCATTTAACTCAACTTATAGTAATATAATAAAGTGTTGAATAAAATTTACCCAAACAGAAGCACAGAAAAAAAAAAAAAGAGTGGAAAAAGACCTGAAAATCCAAGGTCTGGACAAATATTAATTCTTGAGAGTCCAAGACTTGTGGAACATCAGAACATTTAAACTTGTGTACTTGAGATCCTGATTGATGGAAAGGTGTCAATATACATATCCAAGAAACTCAAGTGAACACCATGTCAAACTCCTGACAGCCACGAATGAGTCTTAAATGCAGCCAAAGAAAAAGGACAGGTTAAATTTAGGAGAACATCTATAAGAATCTTAAAGTACTTCATATCAGAAGTAATAAAATCAATGGAATATCTCTAAAATACTAAAATGAAAAAAAATCTCTAAGACTTAAATATCCAGGGAAAATCCTTTAAAAATCAAGGAAACTAGCAAAACCAGACAAAAACTAATCCACAATTAAAAGGTACAAGACTAAAATACAAAATTGCTCTCTCAGGTTCTTGCTTCAAAAATGACCAAGAGAAAGGGAATAATGGTTGTGCCAAAAAGGGCCACAGCCACATACAGCCTACTGGCTGCACATTTAGGCTGATGAGTTTGTGAGTCCTTGTCTGGATGCCTAACAATACAGGACAAGGCCCAGAAACAGATTTACAAAGGGAGTAAAATAAGGGAAAGCTGAGCCATCTCTGGTGGCTCACTGGGATAAAACCCAGTGTTGTGAAACTAGCCACAGCTGATTCACCACAAATTCCGTCCCTGACTGGGAAAGTGACCCATATGGCACAGCAGACCACTCCAGACCTGCCCACTGCTCCCCTCAGCAGTGTACTTAGTACCTGTTCTGGCCCCCCCCCCCGTTTCTGGTGAATCCTCTTACCACCCCTGCACCTCTGTCCTGTACCCTAGTTCTATATGCATAAGCAAATACATCTTTTTCTTTTTTTAAGTCTTAGCCAGGAAAATTAAGCAAGAGAAAGAAATGAATGCTTGCAAATTGGGAAGGGAGAAGTGAAATTGGTCACTATTTGTAGATGACATAATATATATATAGAAAACCCTAATGACTCATTAAAAACCTGTTAGAACTAATAAGTGAATTCAGTTAAGTGGCAGGATACAAAATACAGTTGATTTCTGTACATTAATGAACTCTCAGAAAGAGAAATTAAGAAAACAGTTCCATTTGGATAAAACACCTTGGAAGAAATTTAACCAAGGATGTGAAGGATACATACACTGAAAACTCAGATGTTGATGATAGAAACTGAAGAAGACACAAATAAATGGGAAGACACTCTGTGTTCATCAGTCAAAAGAATTTAGACCGTTAGTGTCCAAACTACCAAAAGCAATCTGCAGATTCTAAGTAATTACCATCAAAATTCCAATGATATTTTTCTTGGAAATGTGCATATCCCCATTATTAGCATGGAATTACAAAAAGAGAGAAAATAATAACAGCTAGTTTTTTCAAAAGATTGCTAAAAGTGACAAATACTGTTTGTTAGGCATATCCCCATCATAAGTAAAGAAAGATCTGAACTAGACATAAATTCATTGACAGGGATTGCATATTTAACCCTATTATATAGTTGAAATATCAAGGAACAAGGAAATAAGGATAGAACCCAAAGTTGACTTAGTGTTTAGAGATTGGGAGACTGGCTATAATTGCATTTCTGGTCAAACAGAGCATTTACAAGGACAGGAAAGTTATTTATATTTCAGCTGCTGACATGGTACCCAGGATGGAGCACCTTAGACCTAGATATTTATTTCAACAGTACTGACCACAGACAATTTGAAACACTGGTATCATCAACCATATCAGATTCTTAAAAGTTGTGACTTCATATGTTCAGGCTTATTTTTCTGAGCTATTTGTAGTAGGACTATAGAAACTGAATTCCGTTCAGCATTCTTCATGCATTAAGGATGGCAAGGGAGGAGAGCTCTAGATATAAATCATTTTCCTAAAAACCAATTATCAAACAGCTTTATTTTTATTTAAACAGCAAGCTAGTTACGGGCCTTTGAAAATGGTTACAGTTTTATATGGTAATGTTTTATGGTTTAATTGTGTTATAATTTTTTAACAGAACTTTTATGAATGGGCACAGTTTAAGATGATGGAGAGTTTCCAACAGACATAATAGAGTTTCTTACTTTTAGGTAAAAAAGGAAGAGAATGTCTTTTGGACCTGATCGCCACGTTTCTGGTCCTACAGTTTCTTCGCACGAGGTTGGAACAAGAAGGAATAATCATAAAATCACTGCTGAGATTGGATGACACTTCCATTTCCAGGTGACTTTATCTACAGAATTAAGCAACTCATTCATATGGTCATCCATTTCTTAACAAAACCTTCCAAGAAGCTACAAAGAAAATTTGTTTACTCTCCTGTGTAGACAGGGCAGACACAGTATTCTTCCCTCTTGGGTTGCACAGGATACTGTAGCTCAGAAAGCTAGGTATAGTTTACAGGGGAGTCCAGATCTTTGTTTTCTGGTTTAGTATTCTTTTCACTGTGGTATATATTAATTCTACTTGCTTTTGAAAAATTAATATGTTGGTTTAACCAGCCTGTTCCCAGAAATCGCAGGGCTTGGCATTAGAAGCAAATGGAAACTCACATTCTATATGTCTTAAGTATTGAAAATTTTAAATCAAACTAGTAAACTGTTAGATATGTTCTCAGATTCTGCTGTGGCAAAAACAAACTTCAAACCAGGTCCAAATTTAGAATTCGAGGGCCACTTGAAGTTTTATGCTAAATGTTGCTAGTATGGAACTCTGGCCCCTAGCCTTTGACTGATGTCTGGTATCAGAAAGCCATGCATATACATATGAATACCTGCTTTAAACCTTGACACTCTGTCCACACCCCATGTAAATGGCCACTGTATGCACGTGTGTGTGTGTGTGTGTGTGTGTGTGTACACATATCGCAGATCCTCAAATATTTAATTCAAATCATTTTGTTACAACATTGATGAGAAAAATAAAAAACACATTGATTCTCAGCTGGGGCTACTATGTGCTATGTGGAGTTTGCATGTTGTCCTGATATCTGCTTAGACTTCCTCCAAGGACTGATTGCCTCCCACATCCCAAAGATGTGCATATAATTTCAATAGTTTGTCTCAGCTGACCGAGACTGAGTGTGGATATGCATGTGAGTGTGCACATATCCTGTCTGGAGCAGCTTTCCCATGGCTCTCTGAGCTGCTGGGACAGGCTTCAGCTGCCCATTATTCTATTAGAGTAAATGAATTGGAGAATGAGTGAATAAATGAAAGTGATTGAGTATTGTAAGGGTTTGGGATCATTATTATTATTTTAGGGACTAGAAATATGATGTAGGAACTTAATTCTTGTCATTATCAGTCTATCGTCAAATTGGTTTTGTTCTATCATTTTGCTCAAAGTCCAGGAGTTCAAAGTACAGTTTCCAATAATCTATCAACAGTATAAGTGATAATTTATGCTACATACATATACATATGTACACATACAAGTACACATATGTAATTTGCTTATTTTGTAGAGGAATAAAGAGAAAAAAATATAGGTGGAAGAAATAAGGATGGAAGCTAAATTTAAAAATATATACTTGAAACAACTGGTGATGGGATTGAAAAGTTGGCATTTGTCTTAATAGCAATAGCCAAAGAGTCACTTCTATTTAGATCTGTTCCAACTATGATAACCATTAGAACAACTAATAAATTTGAAAATATTTTTTAAATTTGTCAAGTCTTTTACTACATCTGCAATTTGTATCTTTCTCTACACCAAAAACTATAAAGAAATATACTTGTTATTTATTTGACCTATTTCTGTTATTGAAATGTATCTTTTTCAAATGGCTACCATATAGTCCCAGAACCCTTTTTTTTTTCCTTTAAATAATGTGATAGTTTATTTTTACATCATTTTGTGCCTTTTTCCATCTCAGTTGTAATCCCCGTGGGCTTCCCATCACCAAATCACCCATGTGCCATTACCATAGTCCAGTGCATTTCCCTCCCCACACTGTTTTTGATCCCATTCCCCATTCCACTCTCATAAAATGTCTCTGATATATAGTTGTTCATTATTTTTATTATTTTCTCTCCTGGTCCTTATACTCCTGCTATGAGTGAAACCATCTGGTATTTTTCATTTTCTTTCTAGCTTATTTCTCTAAGCATGATCTTTTCCAGCTCCATCCATGTTGCTGCAAAAGGCATGGTTTTTTGGTTGCTGAGTAATATTCCACTGTGTATATACACCACATCTTTTTAATTCAGTCATCTACTTTTGGGCATTTGGGTTGTTGCCATGTCTTTCTAATTGTAAATAAAGCAGCAATAAACATTAGTCTGTTTGCCCTATAGCAAACCATTGCCATTATACACACTATATTTCCATATGATTTTTTATTTTTACCATTCTTTTCTTTTTAGTTTAAATTGTTTTAAAAATATATTTATATGAGTTAATGTTGGTTTACATTGTCATTTGTATTTTGGAAATGGAGGATTCCCCTCTTCCAGTGCTGTTACGATGCCACTACCACTACCAAAGCAGCCACAGCCCATCACCATACTCCATTGTGTTCCTTCCCCACTTCGTGATTGCTCTTTCAACTTCCTCTGCCTGCTCAGTATCTGAGTCTTATAGTTTGCTTTCAAGGGCTGGTTTGGAGTTGGCTTTATATGATCCTTTCTTTTCTCTATATTTCACATATAAGTGACACCGTTAGGCTTTTGTCTTTCTCCTCCTGCCTTGTTTTGCTTAGTATAATCCCTTGTAGCTCCATCCATGTTACCACAGGTGGCAGATGCTTATATTTCTTGATCACTAAGTAGTATTTCATTGTGTTTATATACCACCTCATTTGATCCACTCATCTGGTTTTGGGCATTTAGGTTGTTTCTATAGCTTAGCTACTGTATATAATGGGATATAAATGTAAGTAATGAAATACTATAAATAATGGAATGAACATGGGAGTACAAATTTCTCTTTAAATTAGTGTATATGTGTTCCTTAGGTACATACCTAGGAATAGAATTGCTGGGCCTTTTTTTTTTTTTTTTTTTAATATCTTAACCTTTTTAATCTTTTGAGAAACCCCCATAGTCTTCCATAGGACAAGTTAACATTCCCACCATTTAGTCTCTTCTGTATGTTTGGGAAATTTTTCTCTGTCACTTCTTTAAATATCTTTTCAGTTCATTTCTCTCTTTCTTCCCCCTTTGGTATACTCATTATTCATATGTTCCCTTTTCTCATGAAATCAGATCATTGTCAGTGTGTTTCTTCCTTATTAAAAAAAAAATCCCTTTTTCTACCCAGATCCTTAGCTTGTTCACATTTTCAAAGACACTGATTCATTCTTCCATTTGGTCTCCCTTCTATGTTGTTATGATTGGGTTTTGGATATTTGATCCTTTCTGTGGTCTGGTATTCCCTTGCGATTCACATTGCTGTTTGTTGTTATGTTTTTCTATCTCTTCCCCCACTTTTTCTTTTTTTTGGTTTGGGGTTCTACTGCTTTGTGAGGTTGGGGAGGGCTCCAGGCTGAGTGAGTCTCCACCTAAATAAAAATTTTCTTCAACTTCTGATGATGAAAAAATATGCCCTGAAACTCCTAGAAAAGGTTGCACTTTTACTCTGTCCATTGAAGTTATATATCAAATTCTTCTTTGGCATGTAACCACTTAGTTGTATGCCACAGGTAAAGATAAATGAGCACCAACCACTGCAATAACCAATGGTTCATAGACCTATGCAATAGCTAGACTCTGGAATCTACTTTTGAGCTGCAGTATCACAAAGTATTTTCTTTTTTTTTTAAAGATTTATTTATTTGTGCATACAGAACTGGGGTATGGGCCAGAGGTTCAGGAGCGGCGAGAGGCTTCACCAGAGACAGAGTGGGGAACAGAACAGGCAGATTGACGAAGTACACTGCTGAGGGGAGCAGCGGGCGGGTCAGGAGAGGTCTGCCACGCCATGTGGTCCCCTTCGGGGCAGGCGGGAATCGAACTCATGCGGAAGCGGCTTCAGATTCTCAGTGCTGTGCTTTAACCCGCTGCGCCACCAGGGAGGTCCCTCACAAAGTATTTTCTAAAAGGATGAACATTACTTTTACACTCTGACTTTAGGAGAATAAAGTGGTTTGTTGGCAATAAATGAAATTATTTATAATATTTTTTATTTTGTTGCACATACTTAAAGCTTTTATATTTTCTTTGTTTCATGATGTCCATAATATTAATGTAGTAGGGTTTTGCATAGGGGTATGTGAACAAAATTTTCATACTAGTATGATGGTCAGTCTAAAGATTAGACAGATTCCAACTAAATTAAAGATAGGCCAACTAAATTAGTAAGATAATTATAAAATCAATTTTGTTGTTTTCATTAAGTTGGAACAATAAGTAGAGTGAATGATTACTGGGACACATGGGTTTTTTAATCATTTTTTGTGTGTTATTTGATATATGCCTTTCATCATGATATTCAGCTAATTAATTGCCTACTCTGTACTAAGAATAAGAACTCTTAAATATATTAAGATCATGTGTTTTGTTAATCACAACAAGCCCATAGAACCTCATATTATTACCATAGTGAAGAAACTAAGACTTGCAGTTTTAATATAAGATGCACAGTAGCACAGGGCTAATATTATGTCATTGCAGAATTAGAATGTAAACCCATCTCTCTCTCTTTTTTTTTTTTTTCAATATTTATGCATATAGAACTGGATTACAGGCCAGAGGTGCAGGGACGGTGGGAGGATTGTACCAAAGACAGAATGGGGAGCAGAATAGGCAAATCAATGAAGTACACTGCTGAGGAGAGCAGCAGGCGAGACAGGAGAGATCTGCTGTGCCATGTGGATCACCTCCAGGCTGGGGGATCTGACTTTCACTGAAGCAGCTGAGATAAGCTTACAGTGCTGCGTCCCAACCTGTTGCGCCACCAGACAGGGCCTTGAAAACCATCTCTTAACCACTGTAATATGTTTACACAAAAGGCCTCTTCCTAGTACACTGGGAGAAAAATAAAGAGAGATGAGAAATTTTTCAAAAATTGAAAGTATCGTCCCTATAGAATATTATTTAAAATTTTAGTGTATGTTGTTCCTATTTATTTGCTAGCAAATTTTTAGCAGTTGATAAACAGTGAGGAAGTAGCACTAGTAATATTAGTGAAAATATTTTTCACTAGTAATATTAGTGAAAAATCTCAGAATTTTTCTCAATCTTGAGTAGGCTATAATATTTGGCAACCTTGAATATTTGACAGCATTTTATAGACACAAATTTGAAGTTTAATGTTACACACATTTTACTAGTAAGTCATCCCTGATTTATGTGCTATAACTAAATATATACTAGCTTGATGGTGACTCTCAGGTCCTCTGCAAATGATTCATCCTATTGTGGAGCCTAATTTATAAAATAGTACTTGAGTTTGTACTTGAAATAGGTAGGATTTAGAGCAAAAAAAGAAAAAAAGATGAGTAAATATTTGAAGAGGCTAGAAAAAAACCTTGAGTTGTCCTAGAAACAACAAACAAAGAAACCTATGAGGCATGGTGAAAGCTGGGAGGTGGTGGGTGTAATATACTTGCAAATGTGTTGAGTAAGTGAAAGTACCATGTCATCTTGATCGGTAGAAGAACTTTAATAAAATGTCAAAGAGGACTGGTTTCATTAAATATTTTAATTTTGATGGAATTAGTTTGTCTGATATAATATGTTGATTTGGTGATACATTTCATATATGTTTATATTTTGAAGTTGATGGAAAACTATTTTTTTTAATCTAGGAGTATTCCCTGGAATTTTGAGAAAATAAAGAAAGCAAGTGAATGGGTAAGAAGAACTGAAGGACAGTATCCATCTATCTGCCAACGGCTTGAATTGGGTAAAGACTGGGATACAGCCACTAAGCAGCTATTAAGGATCCAACCCATAAACACCACTTCTCCTCTTCATAGAGTTCTTAACTACAGTCAAGGCTGAATCAAATGAATTTGTTTCTTAAACTTTTTTCATGCTTCTTTGTACAAATAATCAAATATTCAAAGATACCTATAATGATATTTAATTATTATTTTATTCAATGTAGCAGTCACATTAAAATAAAGGAAAGCACTTGATCTTAGCCAAAAGACTGAGAAGCACATCCATTTTTGATGAAGGCCTTTGAAATTCTCAGGATAGAACATGCTTTAACATGACTGATCACAAAAATATACAAAAAAACTCACAGGACTCAAAAAAAAACAAAGTATAAACAGTCCAGTCAAGATATGGTCAAGGGCCCTCCCTGGTAGCGCAGCGGATTAAAGCACAGCATTAAGAAGCTAAAGCCACTTTTGCATGAATTCAATCCCCGCCCAGAGGTGACCCACAATGTGCAGCAGACCTCTCCTGACACGCCCACTGCTCCCCTCAGCAGTATACTTCGTAGATCTGCCTGTTCTGTTCCCCACCCTATCTCTGATGAGTCTTCTCACCGCCCAGTCCCTCTGGCTTGTACCCCAGTTCTGTGTGCATAAGTAAATAAATCTTAGGAAAAAAAAAGAAAGAGAACTTAAAAGCCACTTCTCCAAAGAGGAAATGCAAATGGCCACAGGCATATGAAAAAATATTCAACATCCCTTATAATCAGAGAAATGCAAATCAAAACCACAAAAAGATACCACTTTACACCAGTAAGAATGGCACATATTGAAAAAGCTAGCAACAACAAATGTTGGCGAGGATGTGATTAAAAAAGGAACTCTTCTACACTGCTGGTGGGAATGCAATCTGGTCCAGCCACTATGGAAAGCTGTATGGGGGGTTCCTCAAATGACTAAAACAGGAGCCACCATATGACCCAGCAATTCCACTTCTAGCAATCTACCCAAAGAACACGAAAACATTGATTCAAAAAAATACCTGTAACCCCTCTGTTTATTTCAGCACTACTTATAGTAGGTAAAACTTGGAAACAACCCAAATGCCCAAAAATAGATGACTGATCAAGATGATATGGTTTATACATACAATAGATACAGCAATCAAAAAAGAGAAACTAATGCCATTTGCAGCATCATAGATGGTATAGAAGGAATTATGCTCAGTGAAATAAGTCAAGGAAAAAAAATATTGAATGTTTCACTTATAGGAGGAATATAGGAGATTTTGGAGCAATATAGGGGAACCCATGAGGAATTAGGGAAAAATCGTAACAGTAAAAAATAGTACAACAAAATGAAATTAAACAGACAACTATAAATCAGAGACAGTCTAAAGGGGAAGAGGAGGGAGAAAGATCGGAATGAGGGAAGGAAAAGCACGGGGAACTGTGGAAATGTTGCACTGGTGAATTGGTGATGGTAATTCTATGGAAACTACACATGAGAATGGAAAGCAAACATTGTAAAAAAAAAGTGCACAATTATGTAAGTATATATAAATAAAAATGTTTAATAAAATAAATGGAAGCAGAATTGATTGTTATAATAAACTAAGGAACAATAAAATGAAATTGTAAGAGTTTCTGTGTTCAAATATTTTAAGGCAATGAGAGAACAAGACATCTTGATAGTCTTGGAGACTTATTTCCTTTTCCCTTTGAAGTATCTAGTAGAGAATTAGGCTAACGTATTAAACCAACTAAAAGAACAAAGCCTTTGAACAATGTGAGCATCCCTGGCCTGTAATCTTTTCTAGGGGCCCTGTGTAGCTAGATCTTGGCCTACTTCTTGGTGTGATTCATGGTTGGCAATCCCTTGGTATACTTCTTAAGACTTAGAGAAACTATGTGTCCATAGCAATTCTTTCATTGTTGTTGTTGCATCTAAAATTCTCATCATCAAACCCAATGTGATTTAGGTTTTCTTATATGTTTATATATTTCCTAGAATTTTTATAGTTTTGCCTTTTAATTTCAGGTCTATGATCATTCTGAGCTTTTTGTTTTTGTTTTTGTTTTTTTACATCTTTCTTCATTTTTTCATCTCGATTGTAATCCCCATGGACTTCCTACCACCATTTCACCTGTGTGCCGTTATCATAGTCCATGTGTTCTACCCACCCCAGTTTTCATTCAGTTCCCCTCTCCTCCCCTGTGGAAGGTCTCTTGTTTATAGTTGTTAGCTGATGATTATTTCACTTTATTACAATCACTTTATGTATATACATATCTTCTTTTCCTGATCCCTTACACTCCTGCTATGAGTGAAACCATCCAGTATATTTATTTTTCTTTCTGGCTTGTTTCACTAATTGTTGATGGAGGAAGGAATGCAGACGACATCAATTATGATCTTTTCCAGCTCCATCCACGTTGCCACAAATGACCTGAGTTTATCTTTTTTGATTGTTGAGTAATAGTCCATTGTGTATAAGTACCATATCTTCTTGATTCAGTCATCTGTTTTGGGGCATTTGGGTTCCCTACTGTAAATAGAGCAGCAGGTGTCCTTTTGAATAAATATTGTTGTCTTTTGGGTAGATGATGTCGTCTTTTGAGTTCGGGCTTCTTGGGTTCACTCTGGGAAAGGTTTCACCAGAGCTCCCCTTTCAGCAGCACACGGTGAGATTCTTCACGAGACAGAGACTCACTTATATTTAAAGAGTAAGTTTATTAGAAAGAGACACAAGAGGAAAAGACACTTGCATAGGTGCAAGTGGGCAGGAAGAGCTGCCCCAAAAGGGCAGGCTTGCAGAGGGAGAGGCCTGCATAGTTGCAGACAGATGGCCTAAGGAGAGAGTGGCTTCTGCCAGGGGAGGTCAATGCAGAGAAGTCCCAGCATGGTCACGGGCAGGCAAGGAGGCTGCTGCCCGCACAGGGAGCGAGTGGGTGGAAAGAAGCACCTGCATAGTCACAGGTGGGCAGTGGAACAGCTGCCCCGTGCTGGTGCAGAGACTGCCCTGATATAGGCAGTTTCTCCTTGGGAGGGGATCACTCCTTGTGAGCCTAGGTAGAACTTGAGAGGACTGGAGGTTTCCTGATGAGCTTCTCCATGTCCTTATCTTTTACCTTTTGGGTCTGAGCTTCAGGCACAGCCCCCAACAGTCTGTTATCTGCTGGGACCTCCCGGAGACATCCAGACATCCCGGACATCGTGGACATCGGGCTTTGGTGCCTGAGGACCTTGATGTTATGGCTGTGTCAGTTGCTGCACTAGCCCCTTCTATCTGTCCCCTTTGTGTGACTCAGTCTTGTGATGCCTCCCCTGCATTCCTTCTGTTATAGGGCACCTCAATTCAGAGAGAGGCACCCCTGAGGCCCCAAAACCTGCCTGCTCTAAGTGGGTTCTGCCATCCGCCGCAACAAGACAAAACATATAAAGCTTTAATGAAAAGTGACTTTAATACAGTGAATATACAATACGGAGCACAAAGAATGTAACTTCTAAATCAAACACCTGAAGTTAACCATCCCCTCGTGGGCAAAAGTCAACCCAAAAGGGATTGGCCCAAAGCAAGGCCTGAAAGCCTGCCACAAGACTAAAGCACCTTCTGGCCGGGACCCATGGAAAAGGGTCAGAAATGGCCAGACAAATCTGAGAGGAAAAGAGCAAAATCAAAATCAATATAAACACTGCCATGGTCACCTCCCTACAGGTATCTCACCCACATCTGCCTTAACCAGTCCAGGGTCAGGAAACAAGCCCGGTTTCTTCATCACATGCTTGCTGCTCCATGTGGCTTCCTTAGGTCTCCTTCTCCATCTGCCTCCTGCCTATCTGCCTTTCTTCTCTCTTCTCTCTCCTTTTTCTCTGCTCAGTTCCACCCTCCTTCTGGGTGGGGCAGGGAACCTGGAACTTCCCTTCTCCTAGGGACCACCCAGTTACACTTCCTCCATCATAGATGCCTAAGACAGGAATTGCTGAATCATATGGAAGCCCCATTTATAACAGTTTAGAAACCTCCAAACAGCCCATAGTGGTTATACCAGTTTCATTCCCACCAGCAGTGTAGGAGAGTTCATTTATCTACACAACCTTGTCAACAATTACTGTTTTGTTAGTTGTTTTTTTTTTTTTTTAATATGTGACACAAGCTATGCAATTTCTATCGATAGACATATTCTGGATAGAAAAGGAAAAGCTATGAAAAAATCAGAATTTCCATGCTAGCTCATGTTATAACCTCCCTTTTTTGTATAATCAAAATGTTTTAATCAACCATCAGTTTTCAGCTGGATTGCCTTAGCCTCATAAGGCACGGCCTGGCCCAGACAAGCAAGCACTGCACCAGGGCGAGAAATTCCTCTTGAAGTCAAAAGTGATTTTACAATTGGCTGATTAATAAAAGCAATTGGCTGTTACAGCAAAGTCAATATTGAGGCAGTACTGGAACATATTCTTTTTCTGCCCGGATGGAGGAGAACCCAAATCTCATCACTCTATTATCTCACATAGCCTTCTATTTAGTTTCTAAAGAACTACTTAAATTTTCTACTTTCTAGTCTTTAGATAAGGAAATTCACCCAAGTCTTCCATTCAGAGCTAATTAGGTTTTCTACTATCTAGACATCAAGGAAATTCACTTAAGCCCTCTAATTAGTCTTCAAAGAACTTTACTCTATTTCCTTTTCTGATTGATTTACAAGAAAATTTCCCCTTCCTGCTCTCACTTTACTTTACCCCCTAGGATATCTCAATGAGAATGAAAGCCATTAAGTAGTAGATAAGGTTTAAGGGACTTTATTTTGGTTAATCTTCACTGTGGTAAATATAGTAATATTAGTCTTAAATTTTGTGAATCTATCTACCTGTTTTAACCTTGATAGATTGATTTTTTAAAATAACGTTACAATCTCAACTAAAGGTCAATATGATCCCAGACTATTCTTAGAAAAAAGGTGGTAGCGATCTCAGAACAATTCATATATTGTCATCTCACTGCTTGCTTGAAATGTATAAAATAAACATCTGCTGAAACCTGAGCAGGAAGACTTGCACCCAACAACGATCCCCGTGTCTTCCTGGTGCCCTCTCACCTTTTCCCCTTTTTCTAGGAATCTCTGCTCGCTGACGACTCCACTCTCACCTTAAGGCCCTGCCTGTTCTGTCCCCTAACAACCCGTGATCGGGGGTCAGTCTC